AACGTACATTTTAAAACCTACATTTTAAATAGAATATTGCTTTAAATATAATCTAAACTTTTATAGCAGAACATTTTATTAACCAAAAGTTAAAATAGGCCTATCTCGCAGTCAGTGAAAATAAATTGGGTGCTTTCAATGACGCTAGGAATGAGAAAACTGAATCAATCTTTTTGGTTTAGTTTTGTTTTGAATTGTTCTGTTTACAAGTTGACATTTCAATATAGATATACGTTTCAGGTCTGTGGAGTAGGATACTTAGGCTATACGCTGAGTTTATGTTTATGAGACACGCTCCGCACCGGAATACAGAAACGCGCTGCAAATAACATGGTCCCTTCAAAGGGCAGACGGCAAAGCTCTTCAAGTGGGAATTTGGCGTGAGCATGACACCTAGTGTGTCATTTATGTAGCCGTTTGGAACTTGATGAAGGGAGCAACAACAGACAACGTAATGTAATTATTTTTACCTTAGATGTTCCTATGACAATGCAGCACTTTGTCCATCAGCTGTATAGCTGTTCTGACGACAGAAATATAATGATTAACATAACAAACGGTTGCAAATAAATTATTTATTTTTACTTTATAAAAATCTGTTAAAATATCCGTTTATATATCTGTATGTCAGTGCCATACATTACCTAACATTTCAAGGAAACTTTTCTTATGAAAATTTAAACATAAAATGAAACTATTTGTATAGTGTAACTGATGTATAGATTAATATCTTGCCTTCATGTTCTTCTAGATCTTTTTTTATTTATTTAGTTTAGTTTTCAGATCATTGTTCTTTTCTCATTTGTATTGTGATGACATTGAACATATTGTTAACACATGTTGTATATTGTACACAAGTCGTATGTCATAATAATTTGAATCTCTGTGTTTTGCGGGGGAAAAGTCAAAAGAAATTAAATAAAACAAAGTCGAATTTTGAGTAAGCAAGGAGTATAGACGAACTATAAAAAATATAATAGTATAATATTATTTATATGAAGAGCTCTTTTCCAAAACGCTATAAATCCATTTCAATAGTTTTCAGGAAAACTACATTTTTTACCTAGACCCACACATTTTGTGAATAATCAAATTATCCTGTTGAAATGTTTTATTGGTTCAGTCTGAACATTTTTAACAATGATTATTAAATCAAACAACAATATTGTTAATGATAAATTAAAAGTTAATTTTATTTATTTTTTCAAAACGCTATACATCCATCCATTTCTTTGTATCATTTTTAGTAAAGTCATTTTTAGTAAAGTGTCAAACCTCAAACAAATAGTAGGCTACCAATTTCAACATATGCATGAAAAAACTAATTATTAAAAATGATCAATAATGATAACGATATTCAAAAAAGGGATGGGCACCCCTCCAGCACATGCACACACACATAGGCTACATACATAGCATGTGAGCAAAGCGGAGCGGCGAGACGCTTAAATATAAGTAAAAAAAAAAAAACATAAAATAAACATAGGCTACATTTCACATTTGTGTTTACTAATATTGCGTTACTTATTTTTATTATTTCATCTATGTTGAGTAGGCTATGAAAGGGGAACCGCATGAGATGAGTAAGATATCCGACCAATATCGGAAAATATTTGGAGTGGGTCAGACATGATTTTGACCACTTATTAAGTTTTGTTTTGTAGAAAGCTTGTAAATTTCGTTTGATATAAATTATATCTTTATTTTAATAAATGTTTCATCAACAAATTGACTGGATTAAAACAGCAAATATCAGACAATATAATTAGGACACAGAGGCGCGCACGTGAACCGGAGAGCGCGTCTAATATATTATGAACCGAAACACTGCGATGCTTGCCTCACAGACCTGAGAACTAGGCTACAGAAATCTTTAAATGTCTACTTTTAAACAAAACAATTAAAAACGAAAATAAATTGGCAACTCTCTGCATATGTAGGCTAATTCGAAGTATCTCTCTATAGGCTTATGCGCGTTCACTGCGAAGATGGTGAGTAGCATCATCAACTTTATCTTTGCTGCTGACACTGACAGAAAACACTAGTTTATTAATAAACAATTCCAATGTCTCATGCATAATCATTACTTTTGTCGGTTCTTTGTGGCAAGCTTTATGCATGCATTGAGATGCGGAATATAGGCAATTAAAAAACGCTATATGGTTTCTCTCCCATTTAATTAAATCAATATATGTGATTAGCCTACTGATTAGACAAATGGCTTAAATGATCTACTACTATAGTCGACTAGAAAACTAGGACTCATTTTGTGGAATGAATGAACATAATAAACCTCTGTTCAGAGTGCCGCCGTGCTGGATTGCGTGGAACGCTCATCGAATTTGAGGACTTATCGCGTTTAGGCTAAAAACAGGGCTGGCGCTTATCGCGGTTTGGAAAGAAACTGTATCTTGCAGTACATTTTAAACAAGGAAATATAGCGATTTGGCATGAAACGTTGATGGGGCAGTGAAAGGGTTCTGTCCACAGCAGAATGACACGACAAACTCATTTTTTTTAAAAATGGCGTTTAACGCGTTTTGGAAAAGAGCTCTTCATATATACAATATTATTTTAATAGTATAGTTTATTTATAAAAAAAATATAGGCTTTGACTTCTTGTCAATAAAGGTTTTTTGCTGTAAGCACGTCCTGTGGTTCCAGTCGGGTCCGTCACTTATTTGGTTCCCCGGAAACATTTCCGTTGTGGACCGTGTTATTTGAAGCGTGTTTTTGTATTTGGTTGTGTTGTGAGTACTTGGAGTACACGTGTGTTGTGGAACTGATGAAGATGTTTTTCTTAATTTGCGGATGTTTTTTTTTGTATTTGCACGCGTTTTTATAGTTGCACACGTTTTTTTGTATTTGCATTTGTCTTCATCAGGTTGCAGCGCGGTGAGCTCTCTCGGCCACCGTAGAGAACCGCATTTTTTAAACGCCATGAGCGTACTCAAAGCCGCTCCTGAGATTAGGCTGCCGTTTTTAGTATGTCGTTTTTTCTTTAAATAATTCAAGAACAATACATGGTTTATTTTTGTAAAACTTTAAAACTGGCCTTTACTTTTTTTGACGATTCCTCTGGTAGCTTTTGTTTGAAGGCATTCAATTGCTCCAAAAACACTAACGTTAGTAAAATTAGCCTACTGCACTTTATATTACCACTGGTAATATAACTTTATATTACCACTGGCATATGGTAAAAGATTAAAAATAGATATTTATTATCTATTTTGAGATTGTTTTTTTAAAGCCATTGTTTAACATTTAAATGTAAAGTATGTAAATGTAAAATGTAAAGCACCTTAATGTAAACATTTTTGGTATAGTAGTAGTGGAAGTAGTAACTCGCAGAATGCAAGACCTGACTGGTCATGTGATCTTAAATTGTCAGCTACCCATAAAGGGGCAGCATCCTTTATGTAAAATAAAAAACACCTTTTTCTAAACATACATTTAATCATACATTTTACAGAAATAATTACAGAGTGCAGAGTTCAGTCTATGTGGATCACCATAAACCCCTGCAGTCTCAGTTAGAAATCCCAATCAGAGTACCATTAATGAGGAGCATTAATCTAGCAAGCAAACACAGCATTTAGCTTTGATTATATGCCAGTCAATAGGAGAATAAGCCTCTAAAATATTAACAAGCTTGTTCTGTTTACACTTTGTACACAACAGAAATTCTCAACCAATTAAAGCTCTTTACTCAAGACATGTGAACTTGTCTGAACCCTCTCAGGAACTAGGTATTCATTTACAGATGAAATGCAGAGCTCTCAAGGTCAGTAACACAAAGATGTTATTACTTGTGCAGTTTCAGCTAATCACAATGAAGAAGACTGTGTGTGTGTGTGTTTGTGTGTTGCCCTTCGCAATCTTAGTTTAGACTTTAGGCTTAGTGCCTTATTAAACATAGATTCTATACACAGATTCTGTGAACAGTTCTTACTGAGAATTATTCCACGGCTTCTGTATGACAGTCTCTCATGCTGTGCTCTATAAAAAGGAGTGTCTGAGAAGCTTGAATGACATTCTGACATAATCTCTGGTTACTCCAACACTACACCACATGACAAGAGAGTTACAGAGAGTCACACACTACTTAAAAATACGCATACAGTTTTTATGGTCACGTTAGAATGTTTGTTATTGTTAAGAGTGATAATTTGTCTGCAGCTTCGAAGGCAGACAAAATTTGATTTATATACATATATTATATATAGTGCAAGGTGCAACATTAAATATTATAAAACATTTTGTGCAAAATTATGAAATATAATCTACCAGTAGTGTTGTGGTACTGTAGGTGGAACAATACACTAAACTATATATTGACTAGAGCAATTAATTTAGAGTGAATTTATAAATGTATCGAATCAAATGAGACAATTTTAGCACACTGCTCAATTTTGAATAACAGTAGTAAAAGCATTCATGTTAAAACAGTTGGTTAACATGTTGGTTAAGAGCTGAAGTATGTAATTTCTGAACCACTGCACATAACTGCAAAAATAAACATTGCTTTTAAAACTTTCTTTCTTAAAACACCCCCAGTCAGTCATTAAAAAAAAAAAAAAAACAGTCCCACTCCCAACTCACCAATGAATGGTTTACTTATAGTGGTCTCTGCATAATAAGGGGGTCATTTTTTACTACTTTTTTTTTTTTGCTGTCTCCTCTGTCATTTAAACGACCGGTTGACTATGAAACCACTCCCTCAGAAACAGGCAATGGGCTCAGATTGGTTAGTTGGGTCGGTGTGTTGTGATTGGCTAAACTACGTAGTGCACGTTTGAAATATTTAAAGTATTTGATGTATTTTATGTGCAATCATGTAATTTGTAGATAAGCATCTTTCTATCAAGCTAAAGGTGACACACAAAGTACCTGTGTCATAGGTCTAGTTCATGTAAAGTTTTCAAATGTGAAAGAGAAACATTACAGGTAACATAACCACGTGTGTGTGTGTGTGTGTATGTGTGTATTTGCATACTCACATCGGTGTCTGGTCCTTTATCAGCTCCAGGGCATGAGAATGTGACAAATTCGTGGCAACGTTTATGGACCACAAAACAGCACACTGACAGAGAGAAAAAGATGGAGGTGTGTTACATTTGCAAATATCACACACAGGTAAATCACTGGTAAAAGCAAAGTGTTCAAGCCAACTAGGTTATCTTACTCTTCCTGGTTTGAGTATGTGAATTAGCAGACCAAAATGCAGGGCTCTCAAGTGTCAAGCATTGAGAGTGACAGTCACTCATTTCAGTCTTTTGTCATGCACTCTCGCCACACATTGTATTTCTCACGCGGAAACAAATATTTATACTATATTTAATATGCCTGTAGTGCCTAACATGTATCTGGCCGCCGCTCTCACTATGGAACCGGCAGCAATCAAGCACGTCTCCTCTGGAGTTCTTAGTCGAGCCTGCCCAATCAAAAAAAAAGAAAGGGGCTTCACAATAGTCAATCAGAATAGAGCACTATTGTCTCTGCGTAAGATTTAACACAACAACCAATGACAAAAAAGCATATGCTGGAATTCTTCACATGATTCTACAACAGCATCTTACGAAAGTTTAGTTTACCCACAGAGGAAATCACTGGAGCTTTGAGCATCACTTGGAGAACAGAGTAAATCATGATGAGTAAGTTTTTAATTACAAAATCTTACACAAACAATGACAACTTGACTGCTGTTAGAGAATGATTCCCAGATAATTAATATCAGTTTTTCATGAGTGTATGTAACTTAGCCAATAGTTTTACCGCCTGTTCACTGTCAACACCTGCTCAGAAGAAGTAGTCTAGGTCTAGTCATATTTTCCTTTTCGCACAATGGCTGACATATTGTCACATTATAAACATCTCTCTCTCCAAATAGGGCTAATCATTTTATTAGCACTAAATAAATTAAAATGTATTGCATAGTTGATGTTATAGTTGACTTTTAAAATCATGCCATATTTTATAATTATATCCTAGCCATGGATGCATTAATCATTGCATCTTTCTTTCAAAGATGTAGTTAAAAAATAAGCATCATCTCATCTGCTCTTTTTCTCCTGCAAGTCTGAGCAATTATTAATAACACCCCCCCCCTCCCTACACACACACACATTGTAAACTTTATTTATATAGCATCAAATACATACAAATTAAATTAAAAGGGTTATGTGTGTATATATGCATAGGCCTACATACATGCATACATAAATATATATATATATATATATACACACACACACACACACACACACACACACACACACACACACACACACACACACACACACATAAATACACAATTAATATATTATGTGGGTTAGGGTTAGTTATGTGTGATTTAAATATACTGTACATGTCTATTGTACATCTGTACATCGTATAAATGTATCTGTGTTTTTTTTTTTTTTCTGATATGGTTTAGTCTATGATAGGGTAGGATGAAGGGGTACATTAGCCATACTGAAATGAATCCCGTTATGGGACAGTTATGGATCGTATTTAGGAACATAGTTAATTCACTCATGAACTATCTCTCAGTTTTCATAAAAAGTTAATATTTGCCGAACATCACTGCAAATTTGTACATGCACACATATATTTTATGTTGGTGGGAATTATGAACGGACCGCCACTGCAGACCTCTTTGCGTGATCATGAAGGTAGGCTAATGACTGAATTGGAATTTATAAGCAAGATCACGGTTAACCATGGACACCCCTAATTCAAATGATGATAGTGGCCAGGAACTCTGGTTCCAAAGAGCCATACCAGAGCCATTAAAGACAACACTTGGAAGTCTCCCCTATAGCTAATCCAATGAACCTAAATGATTCAATCTCTAGCCTGAAAGGTGAGAAAACAGGACTATCAGGAAAGGAGACTCTTACTGGAGACTTTATCAGTTATACCATTGGAGTGGAAACCTAAATTAAACATATAATACATTTGGAATACCACACATGGTTGTGTAAAAAACATGTAGCAAATTTTTTTTTTTGTCCGTCATAAATAAATAAATAAATTTAGCACAACTGGCCTGTATTTGGCTATTGATTCCCGTGAACCGATTAACCGTTTAAAATTGCATAACCGAGAAACTTTTTGCTCGGTTAAGTGGCGTCAATACATATTTGCACAAAACTTTTGCGTTTTTTTTTTTTTCTGATTGTAGATAAAAAAATATTGTGAAATGACAGTGTTTCTATTAACGATGTTATGCGACTAAAACTTTTTTTTTTCCTTTCGCGATAAGCCATTCCAAAAATAATGGCAACGGACATTGGTATAGCTATCACAGCCACCGCACTAGACATTATTATTATTTATGGAAGGAGACGTGGTGTGTCATCCAAGCATTAATGGCAGGGAAAGTCACAGAGTTTCTGTGTGTTCCTCCCTCATTTCTGCTCCGAGGTCTTGATTGCGGCATTTCTTTGAGGTTTTGTCTAGTAGGCTATTCCTTGTATCTTTTATGAATTTTAAAAAAATAACTCGTATATGTCCAATGCCTCGTATATGTCCAAAACGGTCAGTGTACTTTTGTGTTCATTCGTTTCCCCTAATTTAATCCGTAGGCCTAATTGCAAAAAGAAAAATGAACGGTTGTTGTATTTTGTAAAACACAGAGTTGAACACCAAAACGTAAGAATATATAGGCTATATATCGACGAATTTTCAGATATTTGTTTGATTTTTTGCCCCTTTAAACATTTAAACTATTTGACAAATGAATATGGAAAAATTAACAGACAGGACAATGGAGAATAAACAAAGGGAATCCAAGAAACAGGCAGAGGTCAAGGCAGGCAGCAATAATCAGAGTCCAAGAACAATCCAAAGTCAAACACAGAAATAAACAAACGAGCAATAAACAACTTCTGCTTGGAAAACGTCCATTGTCTCCTGGTCTCATCAAGGAGAAAAGTTTACCACACATGTTTCACACAACCAAGACACATCATGGCCATACTCCAGGATGACAATGTCAAGATTCATCAGGCTCAAATTGTGAAAGATTGGTTGCGAGGGAGCATGAAGAATCATTTCCACACATGAATTGTGACCTTAAATTCATTGAAAGTATTTAGGATGTGCTGGAGTAGACTTGCCTCCTGCATTTTTAAAACAAGATCTTGATTCTTGACCTCTTGATTGAAATAGCATCACAGCATTTATTTCCATCAAGAGGTGGAAATGTATTTATAAATATTATATATATATATATATATATATATATATATATATATATACACACAACCATTTAAAATCACTTTCGTTTAATGTGCCAAGAACACATGCAAAAAAATAAACTTTCATATAAACGTTCATGTAGCATGTTTCACAATGCAATTCCACAGTTCCATAAAGTCTGTTTTTTACACTATCCCTGGGCATTGGGCCGAACATTTATCAAATCAGATATTTTAAGAGACTTACTAATCTGGACGGACAATCATTAGGGTCTGCAGGAGTAGGCTCCTCATTACCTGTTTTATGATTTTTTTATGACCACCGTGCTTGCTGAATGTTTAATTCTGATCAGCGAAATGATTCTGGTTGACATAAGTTAAACACTGTGTCTACACCATACGCGAGTGTCAACCAAATACTATTTGAATAAAGGATGTACAGTAGATGTAAAATTTCCAATAGGCCAGACACCACTTTTGGCAAATACTGTACATGGCACTATAACATCAATTAGCTAAAGTCAGCACACTCCTGTTATGTGTAGCATATACCACTGTCCCTTTAAACAACAATACACTTCTGAAGTCCATCAAAAGTTTTTTTTTTTTTTAATTTTTTTTTTTTATATTAACATTTTTATCAGGTTCCTATGTATAGGTTTCTACCCAAGTACTGGCATTTCTGAATGGGCAGAGGCTATGATTTAGTGAGTTTGAAGTTAAAGTATTTGATGAACATATATTATGTGCAAAGAGAATTCACTCAATAGTAGCATCTCATTTTGACAGAGGTGGCTTTTAGAGGCTTTTGCATCAGAGGGCTTCAAATACTCTCAAATTCGATCAGTTCATGCATTCCCAAGAAAATCAAATCCATAATACCCATGGATCAAAGCATTCATTTGAGAAAGCATAGTCACACTTATATAAAGGTTAAATTCTTACTATTAACTAACTATTAACTACAACAATTGCCTCAACACACACTTAATTACTGCTTATTAAAGGACAACTCCAGCGCAAAATGAACCTTTGGTCTAATTACACATTGTTACCTAGTCAACCGTTATCTGAGATTTGTTTTCATGATTGCTGAATGTAAATAGTTTTATCTCTAAAAACAGTTTGATTATGTTCCTGAAAATGACGGTCGTAATCTAGCTCTCTGTGCTGCGCATTTTACGGAAGACAGCTTCCAGAATCTCCACGAGTTCAATGCCGGATTCAACAAGAAACTGTTACTAAAACATGAAGCAGTTCCAACTTTAAAACCAGAGGCAGCAGTTGTTGGGCCACAACCTGTAAGTAGGCTAAGACTTAATCATTTTAAATGTATTTGCATGTATAATTCCAGACGTAGCCTTGTGTTTTATTTTTTTTTTCAAATGCCAGCGCTGGCTTTATAGCCACTAGGCTACTAGTTATGCTATTTTGTGTCTACGACAAACACGTACAAACATTATGGACCTGAATTTTGTATAAGTACTAATGTTTTAAATGTATTTTTAATGTATATATGTTTTATCATGTTATTTTCGATTTGATCAAGAGCGTAAACTAATGCCAATGTTGTTTGTGTTTAACATTAGTAGCCAGTCAGTTGCTATTGTTGCCAGTCAGATGCTATTGTGTAAAACAAACTTTTTTTTAAAACTGTCTCCACTGCTTAATAAGACTAAGGCTCACTTGGAAATGAGGCCCGATGTCCAAAATTCCAAACCACCACTTTAATGTTAAAACAGAGTCAGTCAAAGATGGAGAGACTCAAGAAGAAGTGACAACATGTAGAATGCAACAGGACGTCTCTGAATGGTTAGTTGATGAATTTATGTTGTTGATGTGGAGTTAACTATCTTCAATTAGCATATTCTGTCATGATAATC